AGCGTGGGGACAGGGTGGGGGGAAAGGGCAGGAGCTGCCCTGCAAGGGGAGGGCATCCCCGTCCCCGGTGTCCTCTAGCCGGCTGGACAGGGCTAAGTCAGCCCGCTGCAGGGATTTCTCTTGAACTGGCAGGCTAAACTACAGTTTTTACAGTCAAACCGTAATTTTCAAATTCCTCTTTTTTCCCCGATATCATCTCAGCATTGCAAGAGATGAGTCCAGGCAAGTGTTCATCACTCAGGAACTGATATTTTTTCACATATGCTATGCTGATGGGAGATAAGCGTGGAGGTAGTTTCCCACCTCAGACTTTTTGATTAGGAAGGAATGAAACTATTTTACTCGTTGTTTTTCAGCCAATCTATTAATTCTTTGCCAATCTCATACCACCATAAATGTGCTGCACAGTGTGTACTGACCCATAGCAGGTGGTGCTGGAGGTTTGCACCGTGATGGGTGACTTCTGCTCTCCTGTTGTGTGCCACCGGCTTAACTGTAGCCTTCTCTTGGGCTGCAGGTGTTGCTTTCTTCCAGTGCTCCTTCTTAGCACCACTTTTTGCTGAGGCCTGTGGAAGTTGCTAGTCTTCGATAGCCCATAAAAACCAGTAGTTCTGGTTTCTGAGGGTTTCCAAGGGCAAACTACCAAACCTTTCAGCGATACCCAGGGATGAGGAAGGAGCACCAGCGGACTGGCAGTTATCCCAAGCCAGAACAGAGGGCTGTGCTGGGAGAGTGGATGGTACCTTGGGTCATAGGTGCCCGTTTCCATTCAGAGCCTTCCCAAGAGATGTGCTGGAGCGGCTCTCCTTACGTAGCACGCAGAATGGAAAGCAGATGCAAAGTCCTGCACTCGCCCCTGCCCTTATGTCCCTGACCTGCCCTCCTGTGCTCTGTCTGTACCCATAGAAACTTTGGGAGAATTGAGGTGATCATGGAAAGCATCAACAGAGTCTAAGTTAAAACGGTGTTAAAAATAATAAAAATTATCTTTCTATATCTAATTGAAGACACGGGCTCTCTGACTAAACAAGCTGAAGCAACTGTTGCTACAGACTGGAAAAAAAAATTGACTCCAGAGCAATTCTATGTTACAAGAGAAAAAGGAACTGAACCGGTAAGCAAAAGCGCTAATGCTGTCCAAGGTTAAGCCACCTCCTCTGCCTGCTGGGCAGAGGAAAACCTGCTTCAGGGAGCTGTCACCACTCAGTTGTTTCGCGGGTTTTCCCCTGCCTTCCTGTGGATGAAAGTTAGACTCAACATACTGAACCGGGTGGATTTTGTTCTGACCCAGGCTGGTTTGCAGATGAAAAAACACTCTGCATTCTTTTCATATTTTGTTTTTTTTCTGGGATACTTTACTGCCAGCTCAGCCGTCTGTGTGGCAGTAGTGGAGGCCTCTCCAGAGGGGAGGGAGAAGATCATATTTTTGTCCTGTAGTGTCCTTTTTTTGACCATATGTAGATTAGCCATGGAAATCTTATACATAGCACTCCATTCAGGAGCCGGGTTATCCGTCATGTGCCAGATCACCCACCCACCTTGTCCCTGTGCTTTGCTTCCTTCTGTGATGGAGGCCACGTAGCATTGTGAGTGGAGCGCCAGCGTCCCTAGCCCAGAGCCAGGGCTTATGCACGTGCGGAGCATGTACCATGGGATTAAATCATGTGAACCGTGCCCAAATCCTTATCTGTAAAATAAGGATCCTAATTCCAGACCATGCAGGGAGGAGGAGAGTCCCTTTGTATAGCCACTTTGAAGTTGTGGCACTCCACAGCAGAGCCCTGGTCTTTGGGATCCTGCACATTTCACAGGTTCCTCGGAGGTCATGACTCCGGCCCTGGTACCTGGATGATTTATGCATCTGACTGGTCTCAAAGTTTCTGGGGGCAGGGGGTAGTCTTCACTATTAATCCAAAGGCATCCTCCCCTTCATTTCTTTAGACTGCTAATGTTTGTTCTTCAAAGCCCCCCTGTGAAGCCTTCTTTTTATGGTTTTTCTCCTGTTTTGAATCTGATTCCTACATGCTTGTTCCAGATGGTGAGCTTTTAAAGACCTGCATTATTAACTTCTCTTTTTTTTCCTTCCTTTTTAAAAAGCCATTTAGTGGGATCTATCTGAATAACACAGAATCGGGAATATACTACTGCGTGTGCTGCAATACCCCACTGTTCAGGTAACATCCTTTAGATTTCACAGCATCCGAAAAATGTCCTGACTGTGGCAGGAGGGGCAGTGTCTTTTCGTGAGAGGAACGGAAAGCGTAGGTCAGAAGAACAATTCTGTGGTGCCAGAGTGCTATGTATAAGATTTCCAGGATACCTGTGGTGATATAGGTACATGGTATGCCCTTTTCTTGAGCATATGAGGGTGTCCAGTGGCCAGCAGACAGCAGTTGCTACATTAGGGTCTGCCTTTTCCTCCTGCCACGCACACTGTCCTTTTTGGTTGATAATAATTCTGTTTAAGAGGTCTCTAAGCCACAAGCTGCCACGAAATACATGTGTTTACGTGTGAGTATCACTGTATGTTTGCTCTGTTCTTGTGCTCTCCCATAGTCATCTTCTGCCACGCATGCTGGGCTGAAGAGACCTTTGGTCTGTCTTAGCCTAGCTGTTGTTATGTTCCTACCGCTGGGTCCCTCGTACTGGAGCTGAGACCTCCTCTTCACCCCACCCCCTTCTTGTTCCCTAAATTAAATTCCACTATTTTTGCCTTTTTGGTTACATCTACTTTTTAAAACCTGGCTGTGAATGACTGCACTATTAACCTCTGTGCTCTTTACAATACTACATATTTTGCAACTTCATTAAAGTCTAAGTAAAAGGAAATAAGAGTGCCTCGGAGTAGGATATGCAGAAGGTGTTCTGTTCTCTGTAACTGAACCAGGAAAGACAGTTCCTCATATTTTTGATCTAGAAAATAGCCTTTATATATTCCCAACTGCAAGTTCAATGGAATACAGCTGATATGCCCATTTTTATGAAGACTTTAAAGGATGCACCACAGATCAGAACTTCAGATGGGAAGCTGAGGAACAGGAGGTCTGGATAGTATGAGAGGAAAAAATGTAATGGCTGTATCAAAAATAAACCTACACTAAGCAATTAAACGGTAACATTGGAGGCTGATAATTGTAAACAGTTAGTTTTCCTTTGGCCAAGTACAGAAAACTATTGTTATGCAAATGAACATTTGATTAAATGTACTTTTTCTGTAAAGGTTTGCTAATAAACGCTTTTAAATAACGTGATTTCAGAAGCTAGTGCAGCATCGCAGAATATTCTGAAGACAAATAAAAATACGTCTGGAAAATTCAGATAAATTAGAGAAATTTTAAATTACTAAGCTGTGGAAGAGTTCATTCAATTCCTTCAAATGTTTCTTCAATTTAGACATCCTTTATATTAGACAGGCTGACATGAAGAGAGAAGAGCACTGAAGGGAATTGCTTCTGCTGCTGAACTAATAACAAAACAACAATATAACCAAACAGTCATGCTGTTTTTGCAGCATCCAGCTCTCAGAGAATATAGGTACTTTTGTTTAAAGCATAAAATAATGCTGAGCTTTACAGACTGATACAGAGAAATAATAAAAAAAAAAACTTACAGAAAAAACCTTTTAAGAAAATTGAAAATTATTAAATGTGCAAAATGGTCTGAAAATATTTTTTCCATGAATGCATTATGTTGTGGAGGGCACTAACAATGAGGGGGGAAAAATGGTATTTGATAAGAGATTCATTCATCATGTTTATTTCCTAGTGCATTAAAAATGTCCCTTCTTTTTCAAATGCATTAGATCATTAGCTACAGGTAAACATGAAGCATTTCTTCCTTTCTTTCAAAGTACACGTGTGCGTATACATTTATACCAGAATTTATTACCTTCTGCTACCAAATATTCATTTGAAAGAGTTGGAAATACATGGAACAAACCCATAACCTTTATAGATAGCAAATTGTGGTGCTTTAATGAAGTCTCAAACCTTCAGCGAACCATAAACCTACAGCTGAGATTCATACAGCAAAAAGCACTTTTTAGAATTATCTGGATTCCATCCAGGATGACTGAAATAGGGATCAAAGTAAATGACATGTGCTGGAGGAATGGTGTGTCGAAGGCTAATCTAATGCATATGTTTAGGGAAAGTCCATTTATCCATAAATTAAGTGGTGAAATACTTCAAAGGACAAATATGATCTTGAACAGCAATATTTTTGGGTACAATAAAATGTTTCTATTAGGGAATCTAAGTGATATTACTGTTAGTAAAACCACACAGACCATTTCTGTTGAGAGCTAGTTTAACGGCTCAGAAGATTGATCCTTTAGCAGTGGAAAACATCTACAATAAACTTAAGTATTGTGAGCGGCATGTAAGGGACGGAGTCAGTCAGGGTTGGATGCAAAACCCACGTAGCATTGAAGACCTTCCTTGATTCTGCAGGGTCTCAGAGAGGATCCTCATACCTGTGTATGAATAAGCAGAAGGATCCCTGTGTCAGAAAATGAAGAGTTCTGATTGAAATCTCTTGAAAATAAAAAAAGAAACAGCACAAGTATGTCAGGGAAACTCAGCAGTGGTGTACAGACATTTGTGTTCCCCCAGGTTTTTCTTTGGGAAGCTGTGGCTGGGAGGCACAGTGTTTGGGTGGCTGTGTAGCAGGGATGGCAGAGGGCCCTCTTTGGCTGGAACGAAATAGGCTTGGAGCCCTAAATACCTTCTCATGCAGACACAGAGCGGCAAGCTGCATTCGCTTCGGTGCAGTCTGCCTCTGTACTGTCTCCTATTTCTCCTCAGTTTTATGGAGGGGAGGAGGTAGGAGACAATTTCTCATGGGTCTTCATGGATTGATGTAATGGACTGAGCAACAACCCACACAAAAACTAGCCTTTGGTCATTCTGTGTTTGCAAATCCTCTTTTATTTCCACAGTTGCATTGCTCAAAGGCAGCCCTGTACAGTTAATTATAAAATGTATGCTAAAGCATGCACTGTTCCTTGGGTTGGATTTTTTTTAAGCTTTTTGCCCTGCTTGTTTCTCTTGTCTTTCGACAAGGCACTGCAAGTAAGATTTTCAGATTTCTCTTCACTGTATTAATATCCCAGCAAAATATACATGATATATACTAGATATGTTTCTTTAAATTCTGTATTGACTAATGGACTAATCCCCTTGATCGGAGAGAAGCTGCTGCTGGTGTTGGTGTCTCCATCCACCACTAGGTGCCAGTAAGAGCATTGGGTTTGTGAAAGTGGGCTTAAACATGGGAAATCGGGAGGAAACGGTTGTGGTGGGTCTGCAGGCCACTGATCCTTGTAGTATGTGAGTCTGTCTTCATTTCTCGCTCTAACTCACACTAGGTCACTCTTTGCTAGAAGAAAGTACTTATTGCTATCAAAACTTGCACAACTTTAAATAGGGGGGGATTATCTCATTTCTGTATGCTAAATCCCCAAAATATTTTCTGATCATATTTTCCAATACGCTCTAGGTTTTAACATGCACCTAAACAGCGCTGGTAATCATAGAATCATAGAATAGTTTGAGTTGGAAGGGACCTCTAAAGGTCATCTAGTCCAGCCCCCCTGCCGTGGGCAAGGAAAA